CGTATCATAAGAGGAATACGAGGATTCCGCGGAGTCTATGGATACTGCGAAATTTGAAGAAAGCCAAAGAGAGTTTTCCGTCGATTCTTCTAATTCTGTGGATTCCGCGGACTTCGGATTCTTCTGGTTGATGCGCGTACTTCCTTTTTCCGGCGCAATAGGCGAGAAAGCCTACTCCTCAGGTTGTCAGGGAATGTGTCTTCAGTCACTTATTATGTACTCCGTCTTTATTAGAGCTCGCTTCCATTTCTTACAGACTCCGACGCCAAACTCAGACAAACCTCCAATTGTGCTGAAGCTCACGCTAAAGAGTATGTCTAATGGAGTTTTTTGTGAAATTTCTTCCGTTATTTCATTCTAGACCTTTCACTGTTCCAATTGGCGTAGGAATTCCGACGATCTGTTTTTAGAAGCTGAAAAACCTGCAAAGAGAGAAAAGCGCGCAGCATCGGAGAAGACGCCAAAAGAGAAGAAGAAGAGAGAGAAGAAAACATCGGACACATCTCTCTCTTTGCCGCCATCACCCGAGGAAGATGCGGCCCAACCTGCAAAGAAGTCACCACCTAAGAAGAAGTCATCAGTACAAGCAACTGAAACTGAGTTGGATCAGCCATCATCTCAGTCGCCCAACAAAACCGCTTCAGTCCCTACAGAGGCTGCTGCGGAAACGAAGGAGAAGTTGTCACCAACGAAGAAGGAAAATTCCGAATCGGCTTCAAAGCCGAACCAACTTGCGGTGAGCTATGTTGTTGGGTTTCTATTAGGGTTTCAACTTTTGAGAGATTGGATATTTGAGGAGAGGTGCTTGCTTCTCTTCCATTGTAGTACATGTAAGCTTTTGTTATGAGGGTATTTGAACTCGAGAGTGTAATTTTATAAAGTGAGTCAATGCATAGAAACCTAGTGTCCCATTGAAGTTCCCTCATTTCCAATATATCGGGCTGCGTTCATGCCTTGCGAATGTGAAGAATATGTGATTCGGGGGCTCTGCGATTCCGCAGAATCCGTGACAAAGGAATGTATAGATATTGATCGCAGTCTTACGAATCTTGAGTTCCTCGAAGAGCACACTGAGCGTTGTTCTTCAGTTAAAGCATGTTCTGCCGTCTAGGTAAATTTCTGCGAAATACAACATTCCTCAGGCTTTCTTCTTCTGGTACATTCTCCCCCTTCCTCATTCTCCATCCCTCCCTACCACCTCACAAGATTTTCACAGCTTGCTATGTGTCTTCAGAAGTTTTTTCAGAATTTTTCTGCTTTTTTATTGGGTCGGGCACTGAACAGCGGGGGGGAGGGGGTCACGCTTGAAATAAAGCCGAGGAAAGTGAACAATGAAAACATTCTTGTCAAAAGTAAGGACGACCCTCCCCACCCTCACTCCTGTAGCGGCCAAATACGATCCTCTGGCTGGAGATGCCCTGCGTACGACATATCCAGCTCTCAATCGACTCCGCTCTAATTTTTTTTGATGCCGCTTCTCCACTTATTCTTTTGAATCACGGCGATCTACGCGTGTGGAGTCATGCGTTGTTCACATTCGCAAGGTGTGAACGCGTCCTTACGTTGGTGTAGTTCGGTACCACCGAAGTACTGCTGTGAATTATTCAGGGTCGAAGGCGCGCTCTCCACTTACTTCCGGGACCGATATCCATCAACGAACCACTCACAGCACAAGTACTCAATAATATGCTCCGTGACCTGGAGATCAAGTATTATGGGGACGAAGAGAGGCATCCTTACTCTCAAGAGGTGCAGTTTGCAGATTCAGTTGTACATTTTATGGAGCGGATAATTTTGCCTGCTTTTTCATTTTCTCTTGATCTCTGTGTGAATCAGTTTATTTTAGCAATTCAATGACGCCATTATGTCCGGTAATTTTATGCGTGTTCGAAAAGCTATGGTGAACAACGTGTTGACGGCACCACGGTTGGCCATGTGGACGAATCCGTACGGTGCAAATCTGTTACATTTGGTAAGTGAAGCTGAAATTATAGGCTAAAATGCGTTTTTGTCGTTTTCCTATATTCTCCTCTATTTTTGCCTCCTTTTCCTTTTATGATCGTTGTCTTGCCGTCAGTTATGATCTTTTGCCTCTAATCCTTCTCAACTATGGCATGTACTGGACTCTGGGACCACTAGGCCGCGCTCAGTATGGTCGTCCGTAGTGCATAGTCCTGGGAGGAGGGGGGATGCTGTGTTGGTGGGAGGACGAAGATGAGCAGTTTAATTGAGTCAGGCAGCGTTAAGACTTCGCGATGACGCGCGTCCGCGCTGCAATTGCAACATCAGACGCGAACACTGTCGCAGACGGCAACCGATCTCCGGCCACTACTGTTTCGAGTGAGTATGAGGGAACAAGTATGGGTAGAGTATGGGGGAACACGCGTTGCTAATCATCTGCTATCGATCGGCACTGGTCGCTAGTGCCTTGGAAGAGTATAGAAGTACAGGAGAGTGTCAGATTGTGTGAAGGCAGTGCTTATCCGGTTTGTCGACGCGCGCCATCGCGAAGTGTGAACGCTCATCCCACAACTCTGCATAATTTCGTCGTGAATACTATGGAGTCAGCAATGGTTTCTTCTCTTCTCCCTTATTTCCGGTTGCACGACTGCAAAGGTAGCGAAAAAGTCTCAGAAACTTGTTATCAAAATTGCTACTGTGAGAAAGTTCGCCGTTTAAAATTTCCATAAAAAAGACTAATGAACATTTTCAGCTGTGTCGGTCAACAAAATGTGACGGTCAGCATGCTGGTGATGATATAGCGACAGTACTCTGCAATATTGCACCATCTTTACTTAGCGGTCGTGACAACATGGGAAGGATTCCGCTGCATGACGCGGTTGACAGAGGACAGGTGGGGCCTTATATTGTATAGTGTTCCTCGTATAAAGTATGAAATAGTTTCAAATTCAGTTGGCACTACAACTTGGTACTCGGCCTAAAATGTTAAGGGCGCTCTATACTGGGAAAATGGCGAAAAAAAACGAAGTGAAACGAAGTGAAACTGTCAAAACCTGCGAAAAAGCCTTTGTTTAATGACTGCAAAAGAGCAAATTCGTCATCGAGTTTCTCGTAGGCGTCTTGCCAATAACCGCTACGGTAGACAGGGTACAGCATGGGGATGTGCGAAATGTCGGTGTGAGTACGACCCCCCCCCCTTCCACCTCCACGGCTTTTTCGCCGACGACGAGCGATGAGTATATAGTCGGCGAAGAAGTTGTCGAGCGAGGGGGGTATACAATAACTGTGCCAATAACTGTGCAACGTATATCCCACGGGCGTACAGAATGCATATAGTGCATATAAAACAAGAAATTAATACGACCCCCACTTTTCCACAAGAAAAATCAACTATCAAAATAAATTTGTCTTACAAATACGACCCCCCCTCCCAGTAGCAAAAGACGACCCCCCCCCCACCTGTTGTTTCACACCAGCGATGCTTACCCTGACGGTAGATGCGGCTGCACCTATTGTACCCATATCTATCGCATGCAGCCACCGCAGCCGTTTCATTTCCTTCGCTTCATATTTTACTTAACAAATGAAGCAAAAGAGCATCAGGTAGGTCGTCCATTCGTGGGCGGGCGGACGTTGGACGTTCCGGCCGGTGTGATGTAGCTTAACAGGGTCTTATAAGGGTACATTCCTTTGGGAAGGCGCTGCACTAATCCTGCTCATCTCAGCGGGATTATATCACCATTAGATTTATTAATCTGCCTTAAGCGGAAAACTGCCAATACAGTGCGTTTTCACCACTATACGTCCACCCCATATTTTACTTGAAAAAAGTTCTCAAGCTGTGATCCAAATTCCGTTGTGCACGTTTTCAGATTCTATGTATGAAAAAACCTGGAAAAGCATAATTCCAGAAAAACAAGTCCATCATAAACATTTCTACAGGTGTTTTACAAATTTTCCACCGTTTCACGCTATACGTCCACCTTTGATATAAGGCTCTAAAAATTTTCCCGTTTCAACGTGGTGATATATTCTTATCAAAATAGACGAGAACATGTCTCACTGTGATGCCACGCGGTTCTCGTCTGTCTTCGGAAGAAAAGGCCCAAATTCGGGCCCTACACCAGGCCGGACTCAGCAATCGGCGGATTGCCAAGGAAATTGGCAGGTCTCACTGCGTCGTCTGCTCCTACCTCAGAAATCCTGAGACTTACGGCAGTGGCGGAGCTAACAAACACCCACGAAAAACTGTTCGCCAGGGAAAAGAACGGCAAATATGGCAAGGAAAAGCAATCCAACAGCACGTTAAGCGTCAACCAAATTCGTGCGGAACTGAAGCTTTCTGCTTCGAAGTCGACAGTCTGGAGGGCTATTAGACGCAACAGCAACATAGTGAGAGAAGTTTATTAGCACGAAGGCGCACGAACTGTACTTGCCCGCTCACAAGTCGGCTCGTCTCGATTTCGCTAGGAAGAACATCACGACGGACTGGAAGCAGGTGTGGTGATAAAAGGAAACGCTATCTCTTTATTGTAGTGCAACCAGTAAAGAGGAACTTGTGTTCAGGTAATCTTTTCTGACGAGAAGAAGTTCAATCTGGACGGGCCAGACGGCGCTAGATGTTACTGGCGTGATTTGAGGAAAGATCCCATGCGCGTTCTAAGGCCGGCGTAACTTCGCGTGGCCGGTTCTCTTATGGTTTGGGAGCCACTGCTGCCGGACAGAAAGCTTGGGCGTGGAACTAGCATTCATCTCCTGCCGAATGGACTCGCGTGAATACCAGGAAGTACTTGAGTCCAACTTGTTGCCTTTCCTCCGTCGCTGGCGAAGAGGAAAACCGATTTTCCAGCAGGATAATGCAAGTGTCCACGCGAGCAGGTCAACATCGGAGTGGTTTCAGCAGCATAGAGTTGACGTTATGGAGTGGCCCGCGTGTAGCCCTGATCTCAACCCTATGGAGAACCTCTGGGGCATCATTGCTCGAAAGGTTTATGAAAACTGTAGGCAGTTTGAGACCATCAACGAGCTGAGATGTGCAGTCATCGACGCGTGGAAGAACAATTTGACGCAGCTCAGTGCCTGCAGAACCTATCAGCAAGCATGCCTCATCGACTCATGGAGCTGGCTTCCAAACAAGGAGCACCGATTGATTACTGATTTTGCTGTTGTTGTCTTGTTGAACATAGAAATAAACTGTTGATGAGTGGACGTATAGCATGAAACGGCCGAAAATCGGTTATATGCCTATAAAAAATCCCATGGGAGATCTAAATTACTGAACACCTGCTTTCCAGTGTTTTTTTATGCGACGAATCTCACAGTGTACACAACATTACTCCACCATCGCTTTAAGGAATGTTTTCAGTAAATTGATGGAATAAGGACGGTATTAACTGGTGAAACGCACTCTGTATAAATTCCCAAGAAGTGTAGGATTAATACGCCCAGCAAGACCGAATTTCCCGCCCCTACAGACGTGGCGCCTTTTTCGAGGAAAGTAGCTTTTTATAGCGCCATATCTCCACAGTCTTACTATCCAATCTTTTTTAAACGACATGTGGGAGATTTTGTAGAGAACAGAACTTGGTTATAAATTGCTATATAGGTTGGTTGGTTTGGTTGGTTTTTAGTTATCTAGTTGTGCTGTGTTTTATTTGTTGTTTGTGCTCTGTCGCGTCAACTGAATAAATGAAATAAATGAAACGATTACCGGACCGGGCACACTCTGCGCACCCGCCGCCTAAGAATGTCGCCGGAACCAATCACATGCGACGCTATACTCTCTTCTTATTCGGCTTCATTTTATGCGAGCTTACAATTGTGGCGCCCCATGAAGCGCTTGCTACATGCGATGTATGAATTATCCGTGCCCCCGTATTCATCAAAAAAAAAACCATGTTGCAGGATGCAAACAAGATAAACTTGCTTCAGAAAATGCTTTGTCACAGTGATGCAAAACGAAGGCTCTTTCGCAGATTTGCGGCCGTTTTAGTTTCGTGCTCTTTCGTCAATTTATCCCTGCTAGTGTTTTTGAGTGAACCGATTTATCGTGGCTTATGCCTTTTATCATGTTTGTAGATGTTTTGTGTCATACGTCATTTTCAGGTTTGCCGCGTTATTCGGTTGCTAACCTTTCACTCACCGGTTAATGCTGTCGATCGAAATGGTAACACACCGTTGTCACTGGCGTACTTGAAAAATCATGCGAAGATGGTAAAGATCCTGCTGCAAGCTGGTGCCGCTTTTCACTCTTTGGAAAGCGCTGAACGACGGTAATAGTTTCATCTTACTGATTAGAAACTCAGTGTTCTGTAGGATTCCAACTTGATTTTTGTTATTTCCTTTAATTCAAACTTGGTGCTTCTAGAAAACCGGAAAACCTACGAAGGCGTCGTGCATATGATGTACTCTCTAGGCATTCCCGAATAATTTCGAGTCAGCTGCAAAGAGCGCGCAGGAAAGTGTACAGGTGAGCCTGTTGTTGTGCTTTGTTCATTCAGACCACATCGCCCGTTATGGGAACCCCCTAGGTCGCTGGAGAGGTGTTTTTGGTCAGAAAGTTTTTTTCGATAGCTGGTTTTTCTTGTTTCACGGATACTGTCCGGGGGAGGTCGCCCCTCCCCTATTCCCCCACCTAGTTGGTACAAAGTCCTATACAGGTTGAAACTACTGGTTGCTGACGACATCCTTCCTACCGCTCGACAACAAAAGTCTGAGGAAAAACTAGGGAAGTTGAACATTTTCGGGGAATTCCGAAAAATCTGGTAAAATTGATAGGAAGTTGGGAAAACTCATGGAAGTGGTAGATAGGATGCAGAAGGGAATCAGAGGAGAGAATTAGGCGGGAGTCGTACTTTCCGCAAATTTTTCCCAACGGCAGGACGTGCCCTGAATACATTAGCACCTGGCCTAGCCTGGCCGCAGTGGCCCAGATAGGACCCGTTAAAAATTCTGATGTTGCCAGCATTTGTTCCTGTTTCTCCTTTTGTTGTTGAGTTGAAGGTTTGATAATTCATTTGCAGATTATTAACGGAAGTGCGAACGGCATCACCTTGTTTTATGGCTCCTTTTGCAGATGGGCCAGCATTCACGTTCAACGTAAGTCTTCATACTGGACGATTAGAATCGAAGAAGTGGTGTCACGGCAAACGATACCGCTTACCACGTTCATACTTCGGGTCTAAAGGCAGAAAGCACGATGCTGGGGGCGGGTTAGTTGCCAGTGCCAGTGATTGATGGGCTGAGTGGGGATGTGGCGAAATGCCCTCTCGCAGCCCTTCACCAATGGTCGTGCCCGATGTCTTTAGATGTTTGATCATCCTATGTCCTAGAAAAGCAAGCCTTTCAACCTTCCGGCATCGGTTAGTGGATACCTGGCTTTTGCGCAAGCATGAAAGCACAAAATTTTACATCGGCTGGTTCTGCCAAGTCATCGTATAGGTCAAATCCATTCACCAATAGGTTTCTGAATGGAAAAAGGATGCGAATGAAGCCTACAAAAAAGGGATTTCGGTTTAACGAGAGTTTTATCCGTTTTACTCTTTTCGGTTTGGCGACGGGCGGGGCACTTTCGCTGCTTCGCTAGTTCTGTTTTACTCACTAGGTTCTGTTTAACAAATCTCACCTCTGGTCAAACCTGTGAACTCTTGTGAAGCTGGGAGCAAGCTCATCGAATCACCATGGTAGAACCAGAAGTTTCAAAATGCTCCCCCCTGCCCTTTCGTTCATATTATTTCTCATGAAATGAGGGCTGATACTGCGAAAGCTGTTATGCAATGATGTAGGTGCCTGTACTTTTTTGCGATGTAGAAGCTTCCGATCTTATGTTTTATCCCTGACAAATGTCACTGAGCTTGATCTATAGGTGTCTATTGCGAGGGGAAATCAACAATCCTCTTCCATCCGTTTCATCCGTCATTTTTTAAGTTTCATCGTAGTTAACAGACTTGTTTGTGAGAACGCAATAAATTAGCTGAGATTTTCTTTTCATCTCTATCATCCATCATTTTCAGTTCTCTCACACAACTGGGCCGTTTCCAGACAACGGTATATATGCCTACATACTGTTTTTGCACGTATGCAGCGTGAAAGCCGAAGGAGGGATTGTGAGTTTTGATTTCTGTTTTTTTAGCATATATACCTATCATTGTAGTTAGAGTATTTTTTACCGAATTTGTTTTTCCAGAGCTTCATTCTCGTTGAAATGGCAATTGCGTTCATATTAACACAATAAAGAAATATTACAGTGGCAGACACGATGCTGGGGTGGATTGCGACTTGCCCAAGCGCCAATGCACAATGGACGACCGTTAGAGCCAACGAGTATTGTTGAACGAGGCGATCATATGATATTCTACATCAGTCCTGTGAACGGCGTGAATACACTCCAAATCAGGATAACTGAGGCGGAAATGTGAGTTGCTTTCACGACAGAAGTTCAGCTTCGGAAGAATCAGTGAACAGGCTAAGAATCGCTTCAACCAATTTCGAGCGCTCTAGAGAAGCATAGTTTCTTGATCATAAACATCACAGTTTTTGAGCTGTTTCTGCAGCTCAGCGCCTAGATTAGAAAACTGTACACACCTCCTATATCCTGGTGCTTGCTGTGTGTGAGAGAGATGAGTCAAGCAGCTGCATTAATGTGCCATTTTTTCGGCTAAACGT